CTAATCCTTGTCAGAGGTCTAGGTGATGTGTATTGAGGTAGCTACGAGGACATAAAGCCTCTTCCATGCAACCTGTCCCAGGACCAAGGCCATGCTATTGGGATTCACCTCATACTCTCACCTCTTCAGTGTTCTCCAGCCCAACAGCCAAAACCGTTCCTTACCTGGGAGCTCCATTGGGGCATAATAGCAATAGGGCTCCATGTTGAGGGATACACCTCCTTTATCTGTGAGTACTGAATGAAGACTCTCTCCTTCTTTTGTGTATAGGTACTCAAGATTACCACTGTCAGCTAAAGGATTCCCTTTCTTCCAGGTGAACTGTCATTTACCATGATTATAAAAAGAATGTTTCAACTCCCCTAGATTATTTAAAAAGCCAAGCTTCTCCCCATAATTCCACCTATGGGGTCCCAAATCATTTCTAGGAAGGAGCCATCCCAACCATTTCAGGGGAAAGAAAACCCATCAATCAAGGGGGACCTGAACAATTGCACAAGTTGTATAGAGCGCTCTGAGGGAACAGAAACTTCCAGGCCTAGGTGACATGCATGGAAGATGGTATCTGATGGGGCTGAAGACAGTTAACTAGAATCATATCTTAAAAAATCCATCTTGGATAAGGAATATCTGGATCAAAGACACTGCTGGACCAGAGAGAGCCCTCCCATTTCTTGAAGTAGTACTGATTTGTTAAAGAGATTGGGAGGTGGGACACTAACCCCAATATTTAGGAGTGTGATGATGAAGTTGTAGTTTTAAAAATCCATTCCAGAGTTCAATGATATCACTTGCCTGAGAATAGTACAATGGATGGAAAACCCAGTAAATACAGGGGCAATAGGCTGAATCTCAGCCCTTCTTCAGGGAAGAATAGGTTCCCTAATCAAATGCAGTTGTATGTGGGCCCATAAGAAAAAAAATATTCCGGAAGAGCTTTGATGGTGGCAGCCACAGTAAAGGACTTAGTGTATTCTGAAAAATCAACAACTGCATTAAGTATAAACCTCTTGCCCTTAAAAGGAGGAAAATGGCCAAGATAATCAATCTGCCAGTAATAAACAGGTCAAGAACCATGTGGAATCACAGCATACAGATCTTTCAAAGTTAGACATTCCAACTGGCACAAGGAACATCTTTCAGCAAAAGTAGCTGCACAGTCCTCAGTTAAGGGGAGCACGTGGTCCTAGATCCATACTGATCACAGACCCAGTCCCTAATCTCTGTTGTTCTTACAAGAGTTCTCCCTATAAAGGTTGGGTAACTTGGTTATTCAGTTCAGCAGAGGGCATGATGCCTCTGATGGGAACTAATGTTTCCTAAAAACTGTTATATATTGGAAGGTTATCAAGAATTTCTCCACTGCTCCTGGCCCTGAAGTAGAAAGTCCTCAATTGCATTCTTTTGTTCTCTCCATGCCCCATTTCATGGCCACCACCCATGGATCAACATAAATAAAAATATTCCTAGGGCAAGACTCTCTTACACACCAGCCACATAACTCACAGCAAGTATGTGCCATGATGCCCATCCCTCAATGTATTCTCTATTATTGAATTAATGGCCACTGACAGTCCAGAGAATTTATGGCAAAAATTGGATGAGAGTTGCAAACAGTAGGCAGGAAGAGGTGAACGGTGATCTGAATCATAGAAGAAAGCATTAACAAGTGAGATCATAGATCCATTAGAGTATATAGGCAATATGTGCAGATAACTGAAACTTTACTGGATTTTTGGCTTCTTCATCTACCAAACTTTTACCACAGTTATGAAGAAGTAGTAAAAAGGGCTTAATTGAACATCACTTCCTCTCTTATGCTATTCTCTAAATAGGGAAATGACTGACAGCAAGAAACCAGCAGAAGATTAATAAATCTATTAAGGGTCTAAAGATCCATTTTTTAATTAATAATAAACTGATCCTTCATACTATCAGTAATATTGTTAGAGGTTGCTAACGAGAAGTGGATCTTAATTCATAAAATTTATGCTCAAAATCTAAAATAAAGAGCTCCATCTTATTTAGTTTATTATTCCCATTTAGTCTTGCTTCATACACAAAGAGACTATGTGATCCTGGGCAAATCACCTAACCTCAGTTCTCTAGGCAACTACAGCTATAAAATGCAGAGAACATGTCAGAATCCAACGGTAAAAGAAATTTCCTCACTTGAGAGCTCCCTATATTAAGCAAGTGACAAGTCCAGTAGTCCCTATTCCTATGCTATCCTTTTTAGTAGCTAACAAAGTTAGTAAAACATGAATATTATACTGCAAGAAAAAGAAGAATCAACATTTACATGAAAATTTTAGGTCAAAGAGAAGATTTTTTTTTTTTTTTTTGGTGTGAGGCAATCGGGGTTAAGTTATTTGCCCAGGGTCACACAGCTAGTTAAGTGTCAGGTGTCTGGTCTGGGGCCAGATTTGAACTCAGTTCCTTCTGACTTCAGAGCCGGTGCTCTATCCACTGCACCACCTAGGTGCCCCCAAAAAGAATATTCAAGAACCCTCTTGAATGGCTGAACTTTGTAATGGGCCAAATTCCACTGATGATTACCATCCAAAACTGAAAACAGAAAAATGCCTTTCCAGGACTTTCCACAGTGTGAATATGTTTAAAATGGTAAAAACCTTGCTAATCTGAAATTGTGTGTGGTGAAAAAGAGGGTGAAATTAAGGCCACTCTGTTTCTCTCAGCAGTATTTAATTTCTAACTTAATCTCAAGGTGGTTCTTTTTTTTTCACTACTTGGAAAAAAAGAACAACACCACAAAAGTAGTATTTGCCAGTGTAAATGAATTCAACTGAGAGCTCCTGGAAGAGAAAATTATCTATTTCCCTATTTAGCTCTATTCCATTTGACATAGGAATGAGGCAACTTACCAAACTAAAGTAAATATAATGGGGAAAAAAACAGGAGCAAGTAATTTATTATAAATTTGTGGTAAGTAGGTGTAGTTTACAATAAATGACAGAATACCCAAGGGGGTCAACTTGGGTTGAAATACTACTTGATTTTTCATCATTTCTTTTAAGGAATATGTAAATTAATTGAAAGCAACATTTCTTAGGTTATTAAATCTAAAGACAGTAAAATATGATGCTTGAATTTAGGTTTATTATTCCTATTAACTACCTCCAATAACAGAACAAAGTACACTCAACTGGGAAAGACAGAGTATTTACAACATTTTCATACTTCAAGGAGCTGAACAGAAAGTTGAGATATATTCAGGTCAGTTCCTAAAACAGATAATTTGGTTGACTTGCTTACAGTTTCAAAAGCTTCATGAGCTGTCACCAAAAAAAAAAAAAAAACCAATTACCTTCATATTCATGGCATTATATAGAGACGTATGATTTCTATCTCTGCCTTTCAAGAAGAAGCTAAAATATATTAGAAACAATTCAAAGATAGCTAGCTAGGCACTAGCTATCAAAGCTTAAAACTGCACTAAGACTTTTGAGACACCCTGTATACAAAGATAAGGACTGGACTGGCGATTTCATTGGTGTAGAAAGCTCCCAGTGACACAGCTTCTCTACTGATGCGAGTCAGGTCCTATTGGGCAAATTACAGTCAGAGAGCTGTCTAGAGCCCTGAGAGTGTTGGTAGGTAATGTAAGTTCTATTTTGGACATGATGCGATCGAGGTGTCTCCAGAATATCCTGTTTAAGATGTTCAGTAGACATTTGGTGATGTGGGACTGAAGATCAAGATGTGGAAGCTTCTATAACTTGTTTCACAATGCTCAAAAACACTCTGTAAAAAGGCCATAAAACCCAGAACCCCAGACAGGACCCCCAGGCTCTAGCCTTGCCTAAAAGAACTTACTATGTGATGATGTTGTGTATCTAAGAGCCCAGAATTAGTTCTAACAGCTAAAATTTGCAAAGGCATATTTCAATTAAATATAAAAAAGAATTTAGGTAGTGAATCTTCTGTCCCTCAAAGTATTTAAGCAGAAAAATCTCCCTGTAATAAGGAAGATTATTCCACTGGCAGGAAAGTTACACTAGATCTGACTTCTCATGGCCTTTTCAACTCTGGCTCTATTATGCAATTATACAAATGCAGATATTTTATGTATTAGTTTTCCTAGGGTAGTTCCATCCAGTTTCCGTAACTTAAATTATCCCCGAGTTCTTGTGTAGCACCATTATTATTTATAAATGTCATTCTGTTAAATTTCTATGGGACTAATCATTTGAACCACAGAGTTCAAAACAAATTAAAGCATATTACAAATTTGCTCTGGAATATCAAGAGATGTCTGATAAAATTTTAGGTGAATAGAAAAAGATTTTTAAACATTCCCTCCCTCATAAGCAACTAAATTGTACCCTAACTCTTGTCATGGAAGCATCAGTTACAAATCTGGAACAGATATCCCAAGTCTCATTTCCATGTGCACAAAAGACATTTTTCAATACCAAATTTCATGGAAAAATCTGATACCTAAGAAACGTTAATTTGTGAGGCTCAAGTGTGCAAAGGTAATTTTAGATACGTCAAGACAATATACATAAAATATGTATTCTCAAATTTGACCTATTATAGTATTCTTATGTCTTTCAAAGCTTAGGCTCCTTCAGGGCAGGAACTCTATCACCTCTTTTGCCACTTCTATAGCTTCCCAATATAAAATGTGTTGGTTATTCAGTGAGGTAAACAAAGTAAAAAGGCGTTTCATTTATTAACACAATAGAATAAAGGAAAATCACTGCCTCATCACCAGAAAAGCTTTCTGAAGGACAAAAGAATTTCACAAGTTTTGAACAACTATAAGGAGATAACTTGGGAGAACTGAGGAAGGGAAGAATATTCAAGGCAAAGCAAGAATCCCACAGAATCAGAAATGAGTCCAGTGGGTACTACATGTACATATAAGAATTGAAGTGGATTGGCCCCAGCCAAAATTACCATTAAGATAATTTTGTGTATAATTAGATTTTCTCATATAATCTATTAAACCCCCCTCCCCCCGCCAATTTTACCTTTTTCCAGTAAAGGAATAAAATCAGGTGCTCTTCCTTGGAAAACTCTCTGAGCATCCTCAGGTTTCATTGATACTTCCTTTGTCTGAACCAGCAAAAAACCTTTGCTAAGCATCTATTGAAAATAGAAATATTTAGATTTTAAAATGGCTACCAGATACTAAGTTGAGGACCAAAATGTGACTTTTACTTTTAATGCTATTTTTTTATAAAGTTGGTTGAGGAAAAGAAAAAGATAAAGAAAAAAAAAAAGTTTCTCACCTCATCAATTAGTTTCCTGGCATTTGCAGTAGTATAATCACCAGCAAATAAAACAGCCAAACAGGATTCATCACTATTCTTGTGCCTCTGACCCCGAGTTATTGGAACAATGCTCCTACTGGCATCTGTAGAAATTCGTACAGCTTTGAGCTCTTCAAGAGTAGGTAGAGGAACATAGTCCTGAACCACTGCATCCTCTGACAGGAGGCTCCAATTGTTTTCTCCTGACACAGGTGTAAAGTCATGGATGTTACTCCATGTGTTATTGAAGATGCTCAGTCCTGCATCTTTGAACTGAAAAGCTAGCTCAGGATAATAAAACTGAAAACAGCCAAACTTGATATTTGCTGAGGACTCAATAATGGGTTGTGTGGCACAACACAAAAAGACTTCTAGCTTTCTACAATCCCGAGTACGAAATTGCTGGCAGGCTACTATGCACTTGCAATCTCTGCAATTCCGGAAAAAGACACTGCCTTTTATAGGTCCCAGAAATATTCTGCAGTTTGTACAATCATCAATAGTGATTGTAGCAGAGTGATCAAAGATGTAGATGTTGCAGTTCTCACAGTCTTGAATGACAAACTGCTGTCCTGCAACTTTCCCAGGTAAGCGACCTACTGTTTCATCCTTCAAGCCATTAAACATATAGTCTTTTGGATCAACCTGGAGGAACAAAACAAATAAAAAGTTTAAATTTTAAATGTTATTGAAAAAGGGTGGGGAACCAATGTTCAGTTCCCTTCTTTTTGTTTCTTAAGTATCAACAAATAAAAATTAAGCACATCAGTCCTATGACTAACCTCCAGTCTCTTAATTCCTAGTTTTGATTTCACTTAGTCTGGACTCCAGAGTCACAGAATTTCCCTTGGAATCACTCCACCACTTGACATTCCATGGTATTTATAGTGCTAATCTCCAATCCTGAGTAACTCTCACTGTCCATTTCTCACCTACTCAATAATAAGATCCCCGAGGGCAGGGACCACCATTTTTGTCTTTGTAGTCTCAGCTCCCAGTCCACTGCCTTTTGCTTTAATAAATGATTTTTAAACTTGAAAGGCTGCTCAATGTTGCTAAATAAAGCCACAAAAATCATTATGATTGGGTCCAATACTCAATCAACAAGAATTTACTAAGTGCTTATTATGTGCCAGGTACCGTGCAATCCTCAATTCATCTCTTTCAATATATATTTTTTAATAATCTATAATAAGTCCTGGAGGAAGATACTTCAATATCAGTGAAGTGATGAAAGGGGAAATAAATCAGAGTCTCTGTACTCTCGAAGCCTTATAATCTTGTAGAGGAATACAATAAAAATATTTATACTACAAAATGTGATGTGTCTAAACAAAGACCTACAAATGATCTAAGGAAGGAGATCACATGTGATTGAGGAAAACAAGAGGAAAAAACACATAAAGAAGGTACCATGTGAGCTGGACCTCAAATGCCAAGAAGAATTTCAATGAAAATGGGGAAAGAAGATAAGAATATTCCTGGTATAAGCAAAGGCATGAAAGTTGAAAAGAGGGAACTGATAGTCCAATTTGACTGGTCCATAAAATATGGAGAAGGTAGTTTAATGTCTTTTGAAAGGTAGGATGGTACCAAATTATGGAGAACCTTGAAAAATGGGCCAAGAAAAGTTTGGACTTTATCCCGTAGGTAACATGGAGCAAAATCAAAGTGAACAGGATTGACATGATTAGATCTTTGTAATAAGGAAGATTAATCAGGCAGCACCATGACTTCAACTTGTTGACATTCTTCTTTATGTACCTCAAAACCTAACCCAGACCCTTTTACTTTCACAAGATAACTATGCCCCCTGCTTTAATAAGAATTAAAGACTTTAGATATATCTCCTTCAAGATATCTCTTCCTATTTTCACAAAAATTCCTTTCACAAAACTAACACTTTCCACTGGGAATCGAGTGGCTGATCAGAGGGGGATTGCAGGGATCTCTCTGCTGGTGCAGGATTTTCTTGCTTTGCCCGTGCTTAGATCTGGGTCACAGTTCTGGATGGCGGTCCTGGGGGGAGGAGGAGCACTGGCACAGTGGAGTTTGTAGTGGCAGTGGAGAGGAAATCCTACTCACATTCCAAGACAGAAAAGAGTGCTTGTGGTCACTCACAGAACAGAGCACATGCCAGGAAAGGATTAAACACCTCACCCTTGATCACAGTACCGTGGAAGAACTGAAAATTTACAGGTCCCTAGAAATCTCTGAAAAAGCTGCACAAACCCCTGAAGCTTGGGACAGTACATTCCCCACACTGGAAACAGACCCCTACCTTAACAAAGAGTTTATAACTCAAGTAATTGGCAGGAATCATGAGCAAGCAGTACAAAAAGAGTCAGACTATATTATCTTACTTTGGTGACAAAGAATATCAAAACATACAACAAAGCCAAAGCTCCTATATCCAAAACCTCCAAGAAAAATATGAATTGGTCCCAGGCCATGGAAAAGGATTTTGAGGAGCAAGTAAGAGAAGCAGAGGAAAAACTGAGAATGATGCTAAAAGAGACCCAAAAAATACTGAAGAAAATAACACCTCAAAAAATAGCCTAACCCAAATGGCAAAAGAGGTCCAAAAAGCCAATGAGGAGAAGAATGCCCTCAAAAGCAAAACTGGCCAAATGGAAAAGGAAGTCCAAAAGATTACTGAAGAAAATACTTCCTTAAAAATTAGAATACAGCAGTTGGAAGCTAGTGACTTTATAAGAAATCAAGACACTGTAAAACAAAACCAAAAGAATGAAAAAATAGAAAACAATGTGAAATATCTCACTGGAAAAACAACTGACCTGGAAAATAGGTCCAAGAGAGATAGTTTAAAAATTATTGGACTATCTGAAAGCCATGATCAAAAAAAGAGCCTAGACATCATCTTTCAAGAAATTATCAGGGAAAACTGCCCTATTTTAGAACCAGAGAGCAAAATAAAAATTGAAAGAATCCACCAATCATCTCCTGAAAGAGATCCCCAAAGGAAAACTCCTAGGAATATTGTAGCCAAATTCCAGAATTCCCAGGTGAAGGAGAAAATATTGCAAGCAGCCAGAAAGTAACAATTCAAGTATTGTGGAAACACAATCAGGATAACACAAGATTTAGCTGCTTCTACATTAAAGGACCACAGGACTTGGAATATAATATTCTGGAGGACAAAGGAGATAGGATTACCACCAAGAATCACCCACCCAGCAAAACTGAGTATAATCCTTCAGGGGAAAAAATGGTCATTCAGTGCAATAAAGGACTTTCAAGCATTCTTGATGAAAAGACCAGAGCTAAATAGAAAATTTGACTTTCAAATACAAGACTCAAGAGAAACATGAAGAGGTAAACAGGAAAGAGAAATCATAAGGGACCTATTAAGATTGAACTGTTTACATTCCTGCATGGAAAGATGATATTTGTAACTAATGAGACCTTTGTCAGTATTAGGGTAGTTGGAGGGAAAAATTTATATGTATGTATATATACAGATAAATAGAGGGCACAGGGTGAGTTGAAGAGGAAGGGGTGATATCTGAAAAATAAAATTAAGGGATGAGAGATGATTATACTGGGAGAAGGAGAAAGGGAGAGGTAGAATGGGGTAAATTATCTCACATGAAACAAACAAGAAAAGGCTTTTATAGTGGAGTGGAAATAGGGGAAGGTGAGAAGAAATGAGTGAATCTTATTCTCGTAGGATTTGGCTTGAGGGAATAATACACAATTCGGTATGGAAATCTATATTACCCTTCACGAAAATAAAGGGGGAAGGGTACAAGAAAGCAGGGGGATGATAGAGCGGAGGGCAGATTGGGGGAGGGGATAATCAGAAGCAAACTCTTCTGAGGAGGGACAGGGTCAAAAGACAGAATTGAATAAATGGAGGGTGCGATAGGATGAAGGGAAATATACTTAGTTTTTCACAACATGACTACTATGGAAGTGTTTTGCATGACCTCACATGTATAACCTGTATCAAGTTGCTTGCCTTTTCAATGAGAATGGGTGGGGAGGGAGGGAGGGAGGGAGAAAACTGTAACCCAAAGTTTTAAAAACTCATGTTAAAATAAAATAAAATAAAATAAAATGGATAACTTTGATTACATTAAATTGAAAAGTTTTTGCACAAACAAAGCCAATGTAACCAAGATTAGAAGGAAAGTAGAAAATTGGGAAAGATTTTTTACAACCAGTCTCTCTGATAAGGGCCTCATTTCTAAAATATAGAGAATTAAGTCAAATTTATAAGAACACAAGTAATTCCCCAATTGATAAACGGTCAAAGGATATGAACAGGCAGTTCTCAGATGAAGAAATTAAAGCCATCTATAGTCATATGAAAAAATGCTCTATCCCACATGCACAAAAATATTTATAGCAGCTCTTTTTGTGGTGGCAAAGAATTGAAAATTGAGAGGATGATCATCAATTGGGGAATGGTTGAACAAGTTGTGGTATATGAATGTAATGGAATACTATTGTGCTATAAGAAATGATGAACAGGCTGACTTCAGAAAAACCTGGAAAGACTTGTATGGTCCGATGATGCCAAGCGAAATGAGCAAAACCAGGAGAAAGTTGTATAGAGTAACAGCCACATTGTGCGATGACTAATATTGATAGACTTAACCCTTCTCAGCAATACAAGGATCTAAGACATCTCCAAGGGTCTCATGATAGAAAATGCTATCCACATCCAAAGAAAGAACTGTGGAGTTTGAATGCAGATCAAAGCATACTATTTGCTATTTTTTTTCCTTCTGTTGTGTTTTGTTTCCTCTTCCTGGTAGTTCCTCCTATTGGTTCTAATTCTTACTTACAATATCACTAATGTGAAAATGTTTAATAAGAATGTATATGTATAGCCTATATCAGATTGCGCACCATCTTGGGGAGGAAGAGAAAATTTTTTTAAAAAGCTTATGGAAGTGATTGTTGATAATTCAAAATAAATCAATTGAAAAAAAAAAAAAAAGAAGCTGAGGCAGAAAAAGATTGAGTTGCCCAAAGTCACATAAGGAATAAGGATAGAAAGTTGAAAAAATTTAAATAAATTTTTGTCATTGCCTTCTTTTTTTTTTAATTTTATATTACCCTAGGTATCCCCAGCACCTCTCCTCCCACTTCCCAGAAAGCCAGCCCATTTATAAACAGTAATTTTTAAAGTTTAAAAAACAATGGAAAAGGAAAAAAGGAAAACCTTAAAAAAGGAAAAAAAAATTCTGCACCATTGATCAATACATTGAAAAAGTCTAAAATGTGCAATGTGAAACACCTGTGGATCCCACACCTCCACAAAAAGAGTGTCTCATATTTCTTCTTTTGGGTCATGCTTGAACTTTATCATTTTGCTTCACTTTTATGTTTTGGTATGTGGCTGTTCTTTCTATTATATTGTTGTGGTTATTGTGTATACTGTTTTGTTGTGGTTTTTTTTTTTTGGAGGGTGGCTCTGTTTGATGACTTCCCAGGATTGGAGTCTCTCCTTTAAAGAATATGGGCATTTTGGTTACTTTATTTGCAAAATTCTAAATTGCTTTCCAAAATGGCTGCACCATTTCACAGCTCCATCAACAATGTATTCATTTGCTTATCATCCCACAGCCCCTCCAATACTGTCTAATGCCACTTTTTGGTCATCTCTGCCAATT